CGTCGCCTAACTTGAGTGGGATGGGAATCTTGCCGGCTTCCTTTAACAATCTTTGAAGGTCAGCGCATTCTTGGAAGGTCATTCAAGGTGAGGCTCTTCCTTATGAGGTAAGTACATGCCCTTTGAACTTGCGCGAACCTTGCATTGACCAAAATTCATTTAAAGGGTTTTCGCTTTCCCCCGACGTTGAAGACAATCGATGCAGTACCCTTGTCGGTGATAGTGAGAGACAAATGACCATCCGATGGCTGCATCAGGAGGACTGTCGCGATGATGCAATGTGACTCGGGAGGGAGTGTTGAACTTATCCCCTTGGGCAAAGTGGGTCGATACAGCTATATAAGAGTACACTGGCAATGCTGAGGAGTAAACAGGGGCCTGTTATGTCAGCTTTGGTTCTCTTAGTTACGACGATCTTCATGTCATCCTAAATAAGCAGGACAGAGAGCTAGAATTCAACATGAAACAATCAGAAAAAAGGGGGTTTAAGCCCAGCGAGAACGCGCAGGCGCGGGAACCAAGGAACGCAAAGCGTGCTACAAGGATGACGAAGGAAACATCAAACCGATAGCAAACGGACTGACTGCAATTTCCTTCGTGTGCCATCGGCCGCATCAAGTAATAGATAGCATTATCGTGTCCGGATCTGATTACTGCGATAGCTCGCACCACCCTTTGTAACTAAGGATCCCAATGTAAAATATATACGCGCGCCCCTTTCCTATTCCCAGCCCGATGCTCTCCGCTCCCGGTTCCGTGGTGTGCCGACCATGCTCGCGCGACGACAAGTCGACGCGTGCCGCGCGCGTCCAGATGGACAGCGCTATTCGGGACCGCCTTCGAGGGTCGAGAGAGCCTCGGCTTTCACCGCGTAACTCTGCGGAGAGCTCTCAGCAGATGAAGGCAAGTATCCAGATTTGTGCTCACCTGCGCTGCCACCTCGGTACCCGCACTGGTCTCCTGATTCAAACGATGGTCAGTTGAATGGAGATACCAAAGGACTCGGATGGCGAACTCACTTTTGCACTACAGTATGTGTACCACTTCTGTAGAGACATCAGTCCGAGATCGATCAGTTAAGTACGAGACACACCTCAACAACACCTACATACTGCGTAGTGAGGAAGTCCAAGAAGTCGTCCTTCGTCGGACCGTTGGCATTCTCGGCCCACGTAAGCCAGTCACGCCCGCATGTCGGCCTGGAAATGTGTTGAGAAAGAGATACGAGCAGGGCATTGATATACGTACTCCAATTCCGTACGATTTCCGGGGTTCCACTTCCTCCGTCGCGGAGCACTTGCACTGCTAGGGCGTGTAGCCTTTCGCCTCGGAACCATGAGGGGACCTCCAGCCGGTGCTGCCTCGGCGAAGGCTTGTAGATATGCTGCCGATGCAAGTTGTGTTTGAGATTGCGAGCAAAAGCATAGAGGAAAAAACCCACCGGCAGATCTTCCAGTAGTGGTGTCGGAGCGGGATGATTCATTCGCAACAAAGGGAGAGCCTTCGGCACCAACGGGAACCGAGTCGGGCTCAGATGCATGAACGGGTGCAGGGGATGCAGGGGGCATATCGGGATTAGGGGAACGAAAAGGGAGGTTGGGTCCCACTGTTGACGTCAAAGCTGGTCGTGCAGGGGTTGCTGGGACCTTCGGTGCAGAGAACGTGTAGGCATTGGGCGTCGATGGTTTGAGAGAAGCACTATACAGTGTAAATAGTCTGGTGGATCGAAGAAAGAAGGTGTTGCGTACAATCGATCTGATACCTACGTGCAAGAAGTGAGTCCGAGGTTCAAATCAGTGAAGGCATGACCATCGAAGAGAGCGAGGGCATCCGTACCTTCTTGCGCTGCGCGACTCCTTTCTGACCAGGGGTAGCGACATTGTGCTCCATCGCAGGTGGCTTGCTTGGTACTGCAGTTTGGGTCGAAGCGACGGGGTGAGGAGCGGCGCCCGTGACAACGTCTTGCTGCACTGCCTTCGAAACATCCGGTTTAGGCGAGTCGGTGTTCCTTGCACGTCCAGATGAGTTCGCAGAACATTGAAAAGTCAGGAATGATCACATACTTGCCCAATGAAGCAGGGAGTGGCGTTGAGGCATCTAGTTTTATGATCACATGAGTGCGGCACGATGTAGAGTATATGGCAACATACCTGATCCAAGCGAAACGTCGACTCTCGGAGAGTCGACGTCCATACCTTCTTCGGAATGGGAAGGGGTGGCGATGGGCAGAAGCGGGATACTGATAGCCGTGGCGTATTCCTAAAGGACGCGATGAGGATTCGAAGTGAGTGCGAGCATGACCATGGCGCTCACCGCAGGTTCTGCATACATATCGTCAATGCTATCGCCACCGACGTCATTGTCAAAAGGGTTCGGCACGGGCGATGCAGAATGGGAGTCGAGTGGTACAGTCGCCGTCGCCGGCGCGACACTGTTAGATGCTGGCAGCACTTGCGGGATCTCGGCGGGTGTTGTCGGTGTCGATACCGGCGTGGATTGTGCAGTCGAAGAATCGGTGTTTGTCTTCTTTGGGGCGGCAGAAGCCATCCTCGGGCGCTTTGCGGCTATGAAATGTCGTCAGGCAAACATAACGATCATCAGTATGGATGGTACGCACGAGGGAGAGGCGGGTCCTCGTCATTCCCGTCAGTTTCGAGCTTGAAAAAATAAGCCTTTTCGCCGGAAAGCATACGGTCGGCGCGAGCTTGGGTGACCATTGCTCGACGTCTTCTTGCATTGGCGGTATTAGCAGTATAAAAGCCAGCGAATTTGTAACTGAGCATGTAAAGAAACTTCCAGCTGTTCGAACAGTATGCGAATACGTCCGAATAGGAGCGCATGCGCATGTCCATGTCGAATACAACTTCGGGCATGGTCTTGAAACCTTCAGGAGTATCTGCCCACAGACCCCGAGCAACATACCAGTCTGAGTTGTTCTCGAACGTCGTGAACAGGTCGGATAGCTCGTACCCGTCAATCGCGCGAGCTGTTCGGCGGACGAGGAATCCAAAGTTGACGTTCTCGCCCTCATTCAGACGAGTGGCACCACGGGCTGTTCGTTTACTGGGCTCCGACGGATCAGCAGCTGCCTTCTTCCTCGCCGCAGAGCCCTTGAGGGGCCTCGTGAAGTACGCTTCGAGCCAGAATAGGTCCCGAAGAGACGGTTTGGAGGGATCAGAACGATGTGCAGCCTCGAGTTCGCCGCGAAGACGGGTAGAATCAATCCCATCGGGGATGTACGGTGGCAGGTCGTGGAAGCAGACTTTTTCGGGATTTGGTGCCGCCACGTCGACCGGTTTCGACTCCGTCTTGAACCTCCTGGGATGCATAGTCAAGCATTGTAAGATTTCAGGGCAGCGGAACACGTACCGAAGGTCATGCACAGTAGCCTGCAGGGCCGTATGCTCCTGGCGAAGCTCTTGGTTGGAGTTATATAGCTGGCGAAAGGGGGCATTGTGGCGGTACAGCTGCTCTGCGGTTGCAATTGACAGCACCTGGTCAAAATTCAGCGCAGGGGCCTGGTCCATGGTGAGCATATTGGGCGTCACGAGGGCGGTATGCTCGAGTACGCACCGGCGAGTGCATCACGGCCTCGTATCCAAGAGTACGATGACTCGATGGAGTGACATCTCCGTTGAAACCCGAAGGAGGGGTAGGCGTGAATGTCTATCGTACGTGTCAGCCATGTCAGAGTGAGCTGAACAATGCGGATACCTACCCGGTGCATATTGTTCATTGTGGAAGTGAAGAATTGGGCAAGGCCCGGTTGCGAAGGCTGCGAGGCACCGAAGTCGTCGAAAGCAGATGAATTGGACGACGTGGAATCTGTTACTGCCAGTTGGTTGTCAAAAGTCATGGCTTGAGGCGAGGAGTACGATGGCGGAGTAGCCGAGTTGGGCAGTTGAAGTTTGTCGCCGTCGTGCATGATGGTCGTTGCCAGAGGAAGGAGTCAACGCGAGACGCGTGCCGCCAATCGGGGGCGCAGACCCGCCTGAGCTTGTTCTGAGACATCCCGGGCCGACCGGGTTCTCGTTGACGTGCAAGTGCATACCATGTTCAAGTGACAAATGACGTGAATAGAGGGTTGGGTTGATACAAGTTAGATGTGCGCTGGCAAAGCCAGTTACAATATATTGCATAACATGGGGTAATCCCGAGGTCGGCTTCTATACCTCACTTGCCGCCCAGTCGCCACAGCAGCAGACCCAAACATGGCAAACAAGATGGTTGTACGTATACAGGGTGTAGAAGTAGTCATCGAGATGGGCAAGACAGCACCAAATGGAATCTAGAGAGTGCCACCGTGGTGTGTGAGTAAGACGTACACGAACCCACCACCGACGTGAGTCTACTTACCCTTGATTGGTTTGAGTACCGGATGTTGCGGGCGGAATATTCTACGCGTCCAAGATCTTGTTCGTCAGCGTAAACTTGCGATGCGATCCAGCCCACGAATACACACCTCAGCGAGCTAGCTAATGCGCGATACTCTGATGCCATAGTTCATTCTTGATGATATGAGACTGCACGAGGGCGGCTAGTAGAGCTCTAGGCTTCAATTCAGTCACATTACAGGTACATCACGGGCCATATGAAGTGCACTGACCAGTATTGTCAGCCGTGGTTGGCTTTGGGTCGGACGGGCAATTTCGCTGGCCATCCTTCAAATATCCTCGGCTGACATATCGCCCGCCACATCTACGGGCCAAAGATGCCCTCGAGCGCCATGGAAAATGTGAGGGTGAGGTTTGGGACGTCGTGGTGGACGCAGTGAGAGAACGAAGTCGACGCGCAGGCAGAGTGACGTTCAACGTGACGAGCGTGTGAGGGCGCTCGTCCAGCGAGCGATGCAGCTACTGCTTTCTTGCAACATCTCCCCTGTCGCGGGGCCGGCTGCTCTTGAATGACTTCGTGCACCAGGATTCGAGTGCACTCCTTGACATTCAGTACTGAAATTAGCCCTCCACCTGCAAATCGGAGCTCACCATCACCATCTCATTTGTCAACAGTATCGACACGTATCGAGTGCGCGAGTCGTGGTTCCCGTCTATCCCCAGCACGGGCTTACTCTGGCAGGGGCGTGCGTCGTCTTTATATACCATTTTAGCCCGAAATACTGACAGGCTCACGAGTGATAGCCCGGACATACCATTCCGTTCGGCGCAACTCGCCACCGCGCCGAATTTCGAACTATCTGGTGGTGAACCCGCCGAGCGAAGGCGGGAGCCAGAGCCCGCGCGGAACGCAGCTCGACGGACAGCATGGATGGGCTCCGAGCTCACTGTCTGGACTGATGGTCACGAACGCGACTAGGAAGGGCGCGGATGACGAGATTAGCTGCCCAACCCGCACGACGGCTCCTCCCGCCCCGCGTCAGCGTCGACCTCGACAATCTATGTGCCGGCGGCGTTTTTCTCGACTCGGCCTCAACCGTGCTGCCGCGCAGCATGGGATCACATCGACGCTCGGCGTCCTTCGCCACAGAACTGAGTCGCGCCCGCGCAGACGACTGCGGCTAACCCGCCCTCCACCACTCAACCCGCGACCTCACAGTGTTCTCCTCCACCTCCATTGTCCTCGCACTACACGCAGTGAGCATGCGCAGAACGACTTTGGTCAAGCAGTATCGCGCTGATGTGCTGGTGTGGAGATATGCGACGAAGCATCCTCCGTGCCCGCCGCACCTGCCGTGTCGCCCTCCACCGGTTTCGGTGCAGTGCTGGACCGAAGTTGCTGAGAGCTGAGCGCCACCTCCAAGTGCGTGACAAGCTACCTCGCGGTAGAGATCGGCTGTCACCCAGCCATGTCGCTACGCCTTGTCTGCCGGGACAACAGACGCGACGCGGCGTGATTACCTAACCCGATGCAGGGGGAACTTGGCGATGCCCGGATGCGCGCTCGCTGTTTGGACATACCTCGTTCCCCGCCCCCTCCTACATCACAAAACTTCGGGTACTGTATGACACAGAGTATCTTCAGTAGTATATCACACCGAGAAATATAAAACCTTTTACTTTGTTGAGACACCTGCAGCGCTCTCGCAGAACGACGAGTCGCACCGAGTAAACCTGCAAACTAATGGCGCATATGGCAAAGAGATCATATATGTCATTGAACATTACATGCATGCAGGGTGGTCGGTGCAAGGTTCCCAGCCGTGCACGGCAAGAAACTTGGCCCGAATGGCACTCTCGATTATATCATCACTCAACGAACAAGACCCGTTCGGTGCGGTGAAGTGCTCCCGCGCTCGCCTAACAGTGTCAAGAAACCAATGTGTCTCATCAAGGGGACTGTAGCCACGGTACTCCGGTAGTCTGAGGTGTGTGCCTTCCCGTCTATCGTCATGGGAAGACAATTGGGTCTCCGCAAGTTGACTCTCCGCATCTACCATAGAAGTCGTTTCGTCCAGACCGGCCCCAAGAGGCTCTTGTGAATGTGAAGGCAGCGGTGAATTCAGAGCCAGAGGAGAAGGCGTCAAATAGAGATTGGGGAAACGATCTGAGTAAACTGGGCCGCGTGGTTCTGTGCATGAGAAGATCAACAGATGGTGCGTGTATGTAGGGAAGATGTCACTTGCTTTCGACCGCCACGACTGCCTCCTCCTCGGAAGAAACAAGAGCTGCACGCAGTGTTGGCGGAGATGTACGGCCCTCGGTGGCAACAGTACTGTCGTCCAGGATCTCGGGAACAAAGAATTCAACTTCGCCGCACTCGCTCGTGGGAGTAGAGCTATCCTTATTCGGTGAGCACAGATAGCAGGTATACTCGGAGTATACTGACTTTGCCCCTGAGTCAGTCCGGCTGCGCTTTCCATTCCCATTTACCCCATTCTGTCCCTCGAGAACCAACAGCCGCGCCTCCACAACAGCTAGACGTGCCAGTGCGGCGTCTTTGGCACGGCGTTCGGAGGTTACCTGTAATTGGAGTACAGCACATTTCTCGCACTTGCCTGTACTTCAATCAGACGTCATGCATAGACTCCAAATATCGCGAAGATGTACCTTTGCTGGGAGTACCTTGTTTGGCCGAAGCCGTAATCGTCGACACTTCGGGATCTCCCTCGCCAACCAAATTCGTCTCGCCGACTGAGCTTGCTTCCTTGATTGAGTTTGTGGCCGAACTAGATGCTTCACACAGCAGCTGGTCAAGCCATTCATCATCCGGCACTTGTGAGTCGAGGGCCCCCCCGGGTACGTAGTAACTGAGCCCAGTTCTCGTCAACAAGATCATGCTGGGGCTTCGTTACATGGGCATACCTCGCGTTCTTTGCATTGGCGAACTGCGCGCGTGCACGGGATGGATGGTTCATAGTGGTATTGACGAGAGTGGATACAAGGAGAAGAGGGAGCAATCTGAAGTTCGCCGCCCCGTCGCGCGCAGATTGGAGCCTGAGCGCAATCGACTTTCCCACATTCAAATATTCATGTGCATTTGCAGTCGCGAGCAGTCTCGAGTGCTCCATCGTGTCTTTGACCGCTCGCTGCATGGGAACAAAGGTCTACAATTATGTTCTGTGCCGAGTAAGTATTTTGTTAAGTCTACACGAAGTCTGGTTCAGGTTGTATCTCTTCCGGAATGCCTGCCAAAGTACCCGATGCCAGCGTAATCTTCTCTACCAAGAACCAACGGCCATCCCGAGGTATCATGGCTACAACCGAGTCAATAGACGTATAGTCCACCACGACAAGCCCCTTGTTAGCATATAGCGGGACTTGCTCGCACGAATAATACGTGCCAAACGTGTCCTTTAGAAGGTCTGCGTCTGGTTCATCGTACATGTGTACCATCGCGACGGTGCGCTCGCTCCCTCGGATCTTGATCTGAAAATAATAGAGAACTTCGCCGAAGGCAATCTCGTCGCCGTGAATGATCTGAGGGCACGTTCAGCCTGATGAGCACCAAATATGCAGTGACATGAAAGATACCTTGATATTCCGTGATATACGCAGCTTGTGCAACTCCTTCAAGGTCTCTCGCCAAGCACACCGAGCGACCTGGCCATTCGGAAGGCGAAGACGAGCCCAGCGGGTGATTGCGCCATCCCACTCATTGTGTACGGCGACACCGAACGAGGCCATGTAGCGCACAATGGCCGCGCGCTCTTCAGGCTTCACTTCGTGAGGTGTGCGCTCCGTTGCGTGCAACAGCGCATAGTCACCATCCAGCTTGATGGCGGTATGCGGGAGCTTTCCGTTGTCACGGTGCGGATCGAGTTCGGGAGCTCGGGCATAGAGTGCGTGGAGCTGAGCAAGAAGAACAGCTTCGTTCGAAAGGTTCTTATAGGGGTTCGAAGGCTGGCGTACGAGCGCCTCGAGAATGCCGATGCTCCGCTCGCAGGTGTACTGAGATAGATATGATCCCATCCCAAAGCGAGTTGCATCTCGGGCCTGGTGGTGTGCGATGTGGATGGCATGCCGTACAAGGTGTATACGTGCTGTCTTCCTCGCACAGTAGATCCATTCGAACTCCTCGCAGACTTGATTCATGAGGACATACGCCTTGTCGAGATCATCTCGTTTAACTGAGCGTTGATGAAGGATGCGCACGGCAGCAGCAGCCTTGCAAAAGTGCGTATAGAACGGCTCGGGCATAACACCGTGGAGCATTGCCGGGGCCATGCCGTAGAACCAGGTGAGGAATTCCCATGCCTTATATCCGCTATTGAGCTTCTCGGCCGGGTTACGAGGTGGGCGCTCGAACGATCCGGGAAGATAGCACAGCACCTCCGCGACCTCTCTGCCAGCCGCGCCCGTCACGGGTTATCAAATCTCAAGCCCGTAAGCAACCGGAGTTAATTATTCTCTCGGAATCAAAATCCCGGATGTGAGAGAAAGCACGGGATTTGAGGGCAGATTAGTTCAGAAATGGACTAGGGAGTGCATTTGGACTATCAGTATGGCTAGTTTGAGCCCGATAGTCTCGAGAAACGGGTCAATCTCGTGAGGACTCTCGGCGGGGACGAAAGTAGCGGGGGTGGTGGGGTAAAAAATCCCGCGCTCGGGGATTGATTTTTCTGTGGAATAAAGAATCCCCGTTGGGTAAAGAATCCCCGTTGGGTAAAGATCCCGTCGGCCCGGGCGGGTATAAACCCCGGCCGCCGCCGAGTTGAAAAGCCGGCGGCACGGGTTCATAACTCTAACATATCGGTCCGATGCCATGAAAAATGCGCGAACACGAGGCTCACACTTGCAGCACAAGCGCCGATGTGGGAACTGGGGCTTGAGGACTCGATTGGCCCGCGCGTCTCTCGAGTTCAACCCGGCGACGTACTCTCACCCACGATCATGCCCGCGCCTATAGTCATCTACTGCCCGCTTTCGCCTCGGCATGCATCACGCACTGGCAGTCCGATCCAAGATCGGGGTTACGGGGTATCGCAGGTGTCCGCGTCTGTGCTCGGCTCGGCTCCCTCCAGCTCTTGCGGAGCGGGCGCTTCCAGTACTGGCGAGAAAGGTGTTGCGGCCCTTATCAAGGTGCTCTTAACTGCAGAGTACATCGATGCAAACACTATATTTGGGGTGCACAGCCAAAGGAGATGATGTAGGGGATTTTAATTCCGGCTTGATCGGGACTGGGGTTTCATAACCCGGGGCGCCCACAGGCTAGGGGTTACTTAACCCCTGCTGCCCACTGGTGTCTCTGCCATGCTTCTTAAAGACCTCGCCGACAAGGAACACCCACGCCCAAGTACGAGCATCATCGCCCGCGCTCGCCTGGAACTTCCCAAGCCACAGATCAAGGAACAAAGCCGTGAAGTTGAGCGCCGCCCAATGCATCAAGTCCGACGGCAGACAAGAAGGAATGGTGAGAACTGTCGTCACCGCACTGAAGAGTGACGGTTTTGCTATGCCGGTATTGAGACGCCGCTTCGCATGCTCCTCGGTTGTTTCTGACGCACAGACGTATTCAAGGTTGCGCATGTATCTAGCAAGAATCAGAAACTGATAGATCTGAGACAAAAGGTGACACGCACCGTGCATTGGCATCTTCGGGGCTTTCGGAGTCTGCCCACACGTCCCAGTCTGGCCCGTTTGACCCGACATCGTTAGAGTCAAGGGGCTTATACAGCGGGTACGAATACTGGTTGCCCTTGGGTTTCCGACGTCCCTTGTAGCCGCAATAGCGGCGACAGCCTTCTTTTCCGACATGTCCGACAAGACCGGTGACCTCTGCCGCTGCAACCGTGTCGGCGGTGACAAAGAGAATATGCAGCTGCGAGACGTATTCCTCCTGTGTCGCAGCATTCCAGATCTTCAGGCCTTCCTTCTGCAGTGCCTTGACATGGTAGAGGCCAGGGAAGATGAACGAATCGATACAACCGGGCTTATTGGGCCCGGGGATGACAGCGCCGGGGATAACATACTGCTTCTTGTAGCGCAGGTTTGGGGGAAGATCGAGAAGAACCCAGATGTAGATGTAGCAGTCGGACTTCTTCAGTTCCCAGAGCTGAAAACCATCACCAGACCACATCAGGCAGATGTCGCGCTTGCCGATCTTGGCCTCCAAGATGTCACTACCCGTCACGAAATCGCCGACGGGGTCAACAAAGCCCTCCTCATCCCACTCTGGCACCAGCTTCTCCATGGCACGCGCCCGATAGGATGCCGCATCCGCATGGTCCGGAGTCGCAAACTGCGCCTGCAGAGCAAATCCGGGGAGAACTGTGTCGAAGGTCTGACGCGGCACGTCCTTGCCGGTGCGAGCCTTCTCAGCGAGATCAAAGCGAGGCTGTCGGCACTTCGGGCAGCTACGGTTCTCTTCTTTATTCGGATCGAGTCGCGGTCCCGTGTATGCGGTACAAGAGTTGACACACATGTCGAATCGAACGGTGCGAACACCACTGAGTTGGACTACGCACTTCCGCACCATGTGGTATGAGAGGATCGGTATGTCCGGGTATACAGCACGAATGCCGGAGGCAACTGCATCGTATGTACCAACTCCGGAGTTGCGGCAGGCAATGAACATGTTGAGGGCAAGGCGAAGCGCCAGGTCCGATAGATCCAGTACATCGTGAGACGGGTTGCGCAGGTCATAGAGATCATCAGGGTCGAGGGGACTGTGCTCCTCATATCAAGACTCGCATTGTCAAGAAGCTCGATGTACTCTTGTGTCAGTGCTATCTCAGGGACACGAGAAAGCGGGAAACGCGAGTGTGGATGGGGTCCAGCAGTGGCAGGATCAGGTGGCGGCGGGTGATCCTGTTGACGTGGCTCCGGACTGGGAGCACGAGATCGGTCGGGCGTGTCGGCGATCTCTTCACCATCACCTAGTCGTTCATCGAGTCTGGCCTCTTCAAGTTGTCTCTCGTGTTCGGCACGCTGCGTGAAGGTGTCCTGAAGCTGGTATATCTCCTGAGCAAGACGACGAACAGCAGCATCGTCGGCACTTCCGGGATCTGCATCTCCGACCTCCCCTGATCCCAGCGATGTGAAGCGCTCGAGCAGGATATTGATCTCATCCAGTGCTGCTTCTTCACGGTGAGAGAGTTGAGGTGAGGGTGGAGCTTCCTTGGGTTGATGATCTTCGACAGGTGGCTAGAGATAGCTAAGAACATGACCCAGGTTATCAAGTGAACCACTTTACCAGTGGAGGGAGATCGATCTCCATATCTTCGACGGCATCGTCAACCTGTGCATTACCTATCCTAGATCAACATCCAATCCTCGAGTGTCAAACAAAGCAAAACAATTGTACCAAGCCATGTATCGGGGTGATCTGCTGGCGGGAGTGCGGGAGCGAGGGGTGCAGTGGGCATAGGTGGGGCGATCACAGCAGACTGGATGCGGAGTTAGATCAGCATTTCCTTCGTCAATAGGAACAACCTGAAGACGGACTGGTTGGCCAGGTAGAATAGAGTGAAGTATTGTCGAGGCCTGCATCTGCGGCGGAGGTGCAGGGACTCGATACTTCTTGTGGTCGTACCACGCACTTCGCCTGAGTTCCCGGCGGACACCACCACACATAATTTTGCAGTCACAGTAGTACCTGAGTATGCCAGCACCACCGTCTGTAATGTCGGCCATCTTGCAGATTCCGTCGCCGAATGAGAAGGGTGACGAGGGTGTGAAGGGCCCAGGAAGCCTTGATCAATGCACAGATCGCAGGAGGCAAGCCGGGCTAACGAAAACCGCGAGTGGCAAGGCTAACATCCACTGACAGCATAATTGATTGCTAGAGCTACTACAAGAAATTCTAAGATAAGGAGGTAGCGATTGGAACCAAGGATGACAATGGACGCGCGAGACGAGCCGCGTCAAGCTCGTTCGAATCGGCCCCGGGCCTTGCACGTGAGGCATTCATCATTTTCCTTGGGCATCTTTCCATAGCCCTTGGTAGAACTTAGTTCCCGCGCTTGCGCGTTCTCACTGGGGTTTAAGCGCCACCTACTACAGCTTCCGGGTGACCCTGAGATCAGATACCCTATTTGGGAGCCCCGCAGCCAACATGAAGACCGCACTATGGCCCTATAATAAATCCGAGTTGAAATACAGATAGAGTTAGGCAGCCCCATGTCCCCATGATCAGTCAGCAACTATGCATTCATAGTATGCTAAAGGGGCTCTCAAGCGGTAAATTGAGACAGGCAGACACCACACACACGTAGCATAGACATATAGTGCTGTCTAGCACTGTTATACATAACCATCAAGCTCAAGGTCACAGTTATACCCAAATTCAACCTCACAACTGGGGAAGAACTCTGCACATCACTCCAGATGCACACGAAGCAAATGTCCTGTGGTAGCTCGTGGCACAATTCAATCACCATCTTTCGGCTGTTGAGCATCCAGTAATACAATGATATTTCATCCGAGCAGCTTGGGAAAAACCAACACACAGACACAGATCGCATGTGTAGAAGGACATGGGCAGCACCGAGACTGTGTGGCCATTTATTCGGCTAGAAGCCATCTCGAAACAGCCACCGAGTCGAAGCTTCACGATATGCGAAACGTAAATCCAAAACGAGGGGACTGACAAAGCGTGGTCATGCACGTCGAAAACGGATGAAAACAAGATTCGCTGATCAGTGTCGAGCTTCGTAAACACGCACTGCCACGTTGAGCAGCACCGTCACGAGTATCGAGTAGCCAGATAAGGCTCTGCATGGCGGTATTGGCAAGACGGGGCATGAATTCGGAAAACGGGCCGTCGTATTGTGCTATGGAAGCAGTGGCGACGCGTACATTCTGCGCGCAGGCGCACGGGTATATCGAATATTGTATCGGAGAATGAGTACCCCAGCGCGAGAATCTTCAAAGATCGCTATGCGGACGTTGACAAATAGCACGGGGCACACGACATATGATCCGTAGTACACATCTACGAAGAACTCTGTAGTATGTATTACGCGGGAGGACGCGAAACGAATCGAGGGGCCCTCGCGAGCGCATAGGGCTGTCGGAGTGACATTTTGACGTATCTACAGAAGTGCATCAGCATTATTGCATCGGCGAGAGTGAGAGATAGCACACACGCGCCTAAACTCGCAAATTGCGATTCACGACATTCCATTCTAAATTTCCTCCCGCGCTCGCCTCCGGCCTTGCACCCCCGCTTGCCTACCCGATAGCCATATGGGCGAGTGTTCTAGGATAGTATGTCACCAGCACCCAGCGCATTTCGAGTCCTCTTGCTAGCGGGCGTACATATGAGCGTCGCTGTTGTCCGGCCTCTGGAGAAATCGGGCCATGCCAAAAAGTCGCGGATACGGGCTAGCACGCGAGAAGACGGTTCGTGCGCTTTCACTAACAGACAGGTGAGTACGTAGTCCGAGCTGAGTACATGGCGGTGAGAGCCAAGACGGAAGTCGCAGACGCCGCGAAGGAACATCATCTGCGCGCGCGGACCGATGCCCGACGTCCTTCTCACGGATGCGAGACTGGGGCGGCGAGCGAGCGGCGAGCCTGCACTTGGCACTGACCACCATCGTGGCAGATCGTCTCGCCAACGCCAGCCTTCTCGAGAAGGCTACGTAGCCTGTGCATCACGAACCCGCCACACGCATAGTGGAGAAAGGCTTCGGATGGCATGCCGAAAAGTCTGCAGACACTGGCATGCGCATTTTCGTGAGTGCTGCTCATCAATGCTCCAGGCTTCAGAGGGCTGATGGGGCAGCCACCATCGTTAGAACATACCAGGTGTCGCGTTAGCGCAGCCATCCGAGCGAAGCCGTCACCGATAACAGTCAACGAGCACCCACGGCCTCGATCTTTCAATAGCTTCGAATTCTGTCCTTACACGCTTATCCGAACTGGTCTCCCTACTCTCAGGACTTATCTAAGAAGGCTCTTCTCACTTCCATTCCTGGTGCCGTTCAGATCGTGGCGTCGCGGAACAATGCCTGGCACAGCTGATCATCTGCGGCGAGCTTTGGATTTGCGTCAGATCTTTCCCGCCTACACGCCAGTTCGTTGATTTCACCCCCGGATGCGGAGTCGACAATGCGCCTTCATGGTTTCGGTGTTTGAGCTGGCTACAGCAGATCACGAACACCACTCAACGAACGGCACATACCATGCAACGCGGCTCACAGGCTCTTCGTTGCTCTCTCACACTCATCAGGAAATCGCCTAGGTCCTCACCGGCTCTCATGGCGCTCTCATGGCGCTCTAATGGCCAAATCCCTCACCGGGCCTCATCAGCGCTAACACGCCCTCATGTGCCGTTATCGCTCATGGGCTCTCACTGGGCTCTCACAGGGTGCCCGTGGGAGATTCGATGTATATAGCCTAAAATAATATGTACTCACCTTGTACCCCTCCTCTGAGGCATAGTAGTCACTCATATGAATCAAGATGGCATCCTATGTATTGATTATAGTGAGATAAGAGTACAAGTTGAAACATACAGGTATAGCAAGATGATATTGAGAGCCTGAGGCAGGGAGTCATGTGAGAATAGTACAGGGGACGAGGAAGCGGAATCAGGCGCGTGCAGAACGTATACGAGTCCGTGATAGCGCGGCATGGTGCGGAGAAGTCGGCGGGGGCAAGGACAAGATGATGTGGGCGCGACGGTGACGCTGCCGATGAAGGAAGTTCGGGTACCATAGGTGCCAGAGAACCTGCAACGCTGATGGTAAGTATTCGTGCCCGTGACGGATCAGGTACCACACGCACCACTAGTCATCCGAGCCCTCATCCGACAGATCGTCCCAGTCGTTCTCGAATCTCTCCGCCATTCCCGTGTCCAGCGTGCCCGTCCTACCCTCCTCCTCCATCTTCTTGCGCTCCTCCTCGCGTTGCTGGCGCTCCTCTTCGTAGCATCGGCGGCACTTGTGTACGTCACCGCGCGGCCGGTCGAAGAACGCGACTGGCCATTGCTTCAACGTCTGGAGGGACGTGAGCGCATAGCGCAGGAGCAGGTGGTCCTCGAGAGACTCTTCCCGCTCAGGCGTGTACGGCTGATGAGGGTTCGCATCCCGTAGGATGTTGCCCAGCGCCCAACCGTCCCAAGCATTCGCCTCGTGCGGACGCTTGCGCATGTACTTGTCGAGCGCCGCGCGGCCCTTCGCATGCGCGAGCAAGGTCGCGAATTTCTTGAGCCAGTGACGTCGGTGCTTGACGTTCAGAGTGTCGGGAGCCCACATCGCCGGCCAACCGTCCGTGTTGATCGGCCGGCTGTACATAGCCACGTCCCTCGCCGCGACCAGTGCAGGCGTCGACTTCTGACTGTCCAGGTACACGAAGTCGGGGGACCGATGCTCGCCGCCCTTGTCGACGAGCGCTGGGATGCCGGCCTTCTCCATATCGTCGTCCGATATCATCCCGCACAACGCGTAGAGCAATGCCCACTGATTGAGCGAGTAGCACAGGCTCGCCTGCAGCTGCTCGTCATCAAGCAGGAGATCTTCCGTCGCCTCGTGACCGCACGGCAACTTGCCCCACGGGCGCTGCGCGTCAGGCAGCTTCTGCAGGCGCTCGAAGTCCTTCTGGGACAGTAAGACCTCCTTGTTGATGTGGCCGCCCTTCTCACCCCAGAATGTCTCCTTCGTCACCACATCGGCGCAGAACCTGCGCCATCCCCTCACACCCAAACGCCCGTAGGTCTTGTCCGTCCGCGCGAGCTTGATCCGAAGGAGAAGCAGTGGGAGCGCGTGCACGACGTTCACGAGCGTCCGCGCGTTGCGCTTCGCATCCTTCGAAGCCATGAGGTGGAGAGGGGGCACCCATGTCCACAGCGACCCACTGGTGCCCTTGTCCTCGACGATGCTGATCTGGGCGTGCGATAGGACTTGGCTTTCCGCCAGCAAGAACGGTGCGTAGACGGTGGGAAGCCATTTCGGAGGTGGCGTGGCGAGGCGGTCGAACTGGCGCCGGAACGCAGGTGAGACGCTCGCGTACATCGCGTACCGCTCCCGCGATGTGCCGACGTCGGTTTGCATGCGATGGTACTTGTCGTCTCGCCGCTCTTCCCTTTGTTCTTGTAGGACCTTGATGCGCTTCTTGTCTGCGAGGAAAGCCAATTAGGTACGCAGCATTTCAACAAGTGAACGTTGATGGCTTACTTTGCATGACGTTGTCCGCTTTGCGCTTGCGGGCTACAACTAGCTCAGCCGGACGGAAATCCTCCTCGCTCTCCGCGCGCGGTGCGTAACCACGCGCCTGGGGCTCGAATGCGTCCCAAACCGCGTGGAGTGGTGGATACCAGGACGAGGGGAGGGTCTTTTGCTGGATGGTCGCTATAGTATTGGCGTTAGCATTGAATAGTGATGCTAGTTAGAGCCCCGAACTTACATAGCTTCGCGCTGACCTCCCCCGAGCAACGCAAACCATCGGCGTTGCTGAGCTTTATGCTCTTGAGAACATCGTGCTCCAAGTCCTCGTGGGCGATGTTGACGTACGTCGGCAGGCCCAGCTTGTGATAGAACCCGTGGTACGTGTCGATGTCGTCCCCGGCAAACACAGAGCCTCGGCGGGGTGATGGGCCCAAGCTGAGTCGACGGTAAAGAGCATGATTGGGGCGTTTGCGGACGGATGGGCCGAGCAACATGGCCATCATGTCGAGCCATGCGTCTGTCTCTCCGGCGGTACGTTGGTAGACGCGATGGCAGATCTGGTATTCGGCGTCCGTGAGAACCCCGAACCAATGAATGCGTGCCCAAGACTTCCACATCGTGGAGACGATGGCGTCCGGCAGTAACATCTTGTCGATGACCTCGCGCTCCATGCTACCCTCCTTCAACTCCTTCTTGCGCATAACCTCCTGCAGCAGCGCAACAGCCTCCTCGTAGTCGGTCTTGAGATCGTGCACGCGGATCTTCTCGACGTCGTGTACCTTCTGGCGTGAGAAGTACCCGACTTTGATGAGCTCGTTCGAGAGATCCTCATCTCCCCGATCCTTACGCCGCTTCTTCTGCTCGGCAATCGGTAAAAGCCTCTCCTCGTCCCAGTCCTCCCTCCAAGCACCTCGGAACTCGTCCGAGTCCTCGCGTCCCAGCCGCGGGATGCGAACGAACATGAGATGCGGCGAGCTCTCGTCGTAAGGCATCGGTTGACGAATGTACTCGAACTTGCGGTACAACGCGTCCACCCCGACTTCGCCCTTGAAGACCTCGTTCTCATGGTAGGGCGGCCTGTAGTCGCTCCCGTACGAGAAGAGGACCGAGTCTCCCCATCGAGTTGCAAACGTGTAGCCCGCAGGTATGGGCCGCTTTGAACGAGGTGTGGCGGAAGTGGAGGAGGGCTGGGAGGTGACTGGGGCAGGGCTGGCGGGTGCAGGGGTGTTCGGCGTTTGCGCGGGCTCGGCGGGGGCGGGCAAGTTCTTCTTAATCTTGTTGAACTTGGGGAGTGGCCTGATTGGCCTGGGCGCAGG